ACCCCCAGCCCTTCTTTTCACTAGACCAATTCCTGCAACTGTTCCCCATGTGTTTTAGCTTCCAGCCTTCTAATCATCTTTGTAGCTCTTCTCTGCACTCTTTCCACCGTATTATAAATACAGTGACCAAAACTGGATGCAGTACTCCAAAGCAGAGTAGGTTTGGTCAGGGGATGAGTGGCAGGTTTAATTGCTAAAGCTGCGTTTAAAAGAGTCGGTTTCTGGATGGGCTGGAGACAGGTTTGCACAAACACGAATTCCTCTGTCTGATCTAATCTAATCTAATCTCCAAACACAAATCCAGGAAGCTAATCTGGATGTCGTAGCACCTGCATTCAAAAAAATGCCTTAGGTGAGGCTGGTGGTTGGATTTGGACATCACCTCTGGATTACTACCATGGTGCCCACGGACACCTTGATGGGCACTTACCTAAAAGTAAATAGGAAGCAAGCATATTATACAGCTGGTGTGTATTTACAACAATCACGGGATCACAGTTGTGGCCTCCCCTGCCATCTCCTGATAAGCAAAGTCAATGGGGAAAGTTAGATTTGCTTAACAATCACACAATTCATTTAATGACTGCAGTGATTTGCTTGGCAAAAAAAGGTCATAAAATCAGGCACCATTCACTTAACAGCCACCTTCTTTAACAATAGAAATTCTGGATATTCTGGTCCAAATTGTGGTCATAAGTCAAGGACATCCTATCTGCATCTATGCATCTATGCATGCTATTTTATGCATTTAAGTATATTTTCTCAAGAATGCATCCATCTCAAAAGAGTCTCTGGCAATAAAGACTAAGAATCTCTAATCAAAAACCTTCACTTGTTACCCATTATTGAAACAAACAAGCAAACAAAAACCAATTCTTCAGAAAGTGCATCTAATTATTTGAATTATCCTATCCGGGAAGGACTTGTTACTATCAACATGCAGCGGAAAGAGCTAACTTTTTTTGTCCATCAATTTTAAAAAAACACAAGCCCTGTGATTAATAAGGCAGGAATCTCTCTCTTTCTCTTTTTTCATCCTTAAAATGATGAGTCAGTATAAAAAGCAACTAGCTTAGAACAGCAGGTGTTGATCAAATCTAATAACCTTCTCAATGCCACACAACAGCAAAGGAAATGATCCGCTCAAACAGATGGCAAAGTGCACACTGAATCATGAGACATCCTGAGGTGATCTGTGGGCCTACCTCGCCCAGTTGTTCTAAGTATCAACCGAATGGCTGTACAATTTGCTATTTTCATCTATTTGCTAGGCTAAGATAGGTAGGTAGGTAGGTAGGTAGGTTCAGACAGATGTAGAGAATAGATGTTAGATATAGATAGATACAAAACAGATGATAGATTGATAGATAGAAATAGATAATAAACGGATATATAGTAGATAGATGATAGACAACAGATGATAGAGACAGATATAGTAGATAGACAGTAGATAGATGATAGATAGATAGATAGATAGATAGATAGATAGATAGATAGATAGAT